GTAGTAAGATATAACAGGTAACTAGACCTTCTGCCTACCCTCACATTTTAACAGGATTTACGTTATATAATTTGCAACACAACAGTCCTTCTTCATTCCAGATCTTGACACCAAATATAAAGTTTTGTAGGACATCACACTAGGTTATAAGTCATATCCTTATACCTTTTCATTGAATAAATAAATTAGTCATAAATAATAACTGGTCATTAGACACTGAAAACTAAAAACAACAATGAAATACGGCAACTAACATTAAAATAAAATATTTATTCAGCATACTCTAAAATAACACTAAAACTCTCATTGTTTTAATAGAAAAATCACAATTCTAACCAAAAAAATAAAGGAAAATCTCCCTAAAAAAGAGAGCTAAGAGACTCCTAAAAAGTTAGTAAAAATATCAGACGCGTACCAGTTGTTTGTGTTAGAGTACCCCGTATGAATTGATCGGGCTCCCTCCTCGTGTGGTATGTTTGCCCACGAACAGTTCCCACGCGTAATCCCCTCGGTTCAGCGGCTAATATGTAAGGACGTTGCTCGTTGTTTATTGAGTTCCATTCCTGAGATTTTCAAAGTTATATATAGTATAGTGTTAAAGTTCAGTAGGTATGTCTGTTGGATAAAGATATAATCCTTATATTTCCTTTCTCGACGTGATTCTGATGTATTTCAGAACCGTACATATTATTAGATAAATTTTACACCCACTTTTTGCGAATCACAAAAAGTTCCTTTATAATAGTGGGCGAGTCTGTTATGGCAGTACCTACAATTCCTAATTCAAAATATAAAAAAACATAAAAGTCTCGATGATATTTGATTAAAGATAAAGAAGTAATAATATGTAGTCGGTAAGTTTCAGTAAACTGAGAAGACTAAGATACACGTGCTACGCCTGCGAAGAACTGAAAAGCAAAAGTTTACTCAAACGAAACTTCATTCATATACCTAGAATTATGAGTATATGATTTTAATGTAACTTAGACTTAGTTAGCTTCTAATAAGGTTCTATTTCACTTGGCGGTATACTTTCTGTATTTACTAATTTAAATTAATCTTAATTAATTGCAACTAATATCTTTAAAGTCGCATACTTGCATTAAAATCTACTATGTAATTTTGAACACTCCTACACGTTATTAACAAAATCAATATAATTACTATCTGGCAGTATAGCCGACAACTTTATTGGAGCCTTGGTTGCTATTCAAGAAGAAAAAAAAATGTTTTTTTTTTCAAATCAACACATTCTTATCTCAAATACCAGGCAGCAACTGTCAACGCGATGACCGTTTATGCACAGATAAATAAATATTCCATAAAAAAGAAATCACAAATCTGATGCCGTAGCACGTAGCATCTATTTTTCGTAGGGCTAGTCGTAGCTGTGCTACGAAGGGCTACGAGAGTGAAATATTTCAATTTATTTTATTTCTTTTTGTTTTATTCACGAGATGTCATTTGTTACTGTCTCGTAGTAATCTGAAGTTCCTACTGAGATGGTTTTGAAGTGTATTTATATAGGTTCTGGATTTGAAATTCTCTGTAGTTGCGCGGAGTCTGGTCCAGAATAGGTAAGTACATATTCATATTATTCATATTCTGATAGCAATTATAAATCTGGATAAAACTTCAGTGCTCAGTGTCCACTGCTTATTTGTAGAAAAAGTTACATATCGCTTTTTTATATTGTTTTTTTTTATTGATAGGTCTTGGGTCTACAAGATTTTACAATTCGTGTTTATTATCACTAATTAGATGATTAAGTAAGTATTCGTATCTGATGACAAGTACTTAACCCTTATTTTATTCCTAAAATATTTTTATTACTTAATTCAATGTTAAATATTAATTTTAAAAGTATCTAAGTACTAAAAAGATTCATCTAAAATATTTCACCTAGAATATTGAAATTCTCAATATCAATAATTTCTCTTATCTCTGTGCACGTGTACAACAATATAAACAAACAAAACATTTCATTGTTATTGTTTACGCCGGATTGTTTATTTACATTTACGAACATACAACGCCATCTGGCTGTTCAGTTAGAACTTTTTAGTATAGTAAGAAGTTCGTTGTGCTCCCGTAAGATGGCGGCACCACGCCGAAAGAAATGTTTGTTAAATTTTTTATAGGTAGGTAGTATAGTATATCAGGTACTAGTACGGTCCTTTCATTCGTTTAAGGGCTACCGCTATAGGGCGTTATGTAATTTAATCCTTGGCGTGTCCAATTACCATGGGTACGTAATACGTATCTCAATACAAAAGGTAAAAGTGTTAGTAATACCAATAATACTTTGAGTTCCAAGGATATTTATCAATTAATTTAACGTTATAGGAAACCTAAGGGCTAAATACATATATCCTTTACTAACTAAGTAGATTATCTAATAAACGCCAATTCATTCTTTGAGGAAACTGGGGAAGCTTAATATAGTTTGGTCGACATTCGCATTTGCGGCAGTTTAAATAGCATTATTTTTAAACGAATGTCAGCCCTATCTCGGCTACAACCTCATTACCTATGTATTTAGCCCTTACGACATGACCATAGCTAACAAGCGGTACTTTTCAAATAAAGCTGTAACAGTTTGCTTATTACCTCACCATTGACGCGGAAAACAAATGTGGAGTTTCAAAAATCTACATACCATAATATCCTATGGGAAATGTCGTAATCCGGAATATTTCAAACTCCAAATTTGACCACAGACTGCTGTTATACTGGCTTCTAATATAAGGTGTTAATAATACAAGTAATTCTTAAATGAGCTCTATTCCACCAATCAAGCTTTTCTCTTGATATTCATAATAGAGGTAGTTGTGAAAAAAAATGAATACAATATCGTATGGTCACCAAGATCAAGGGTGTGTACCAAATATGAGATCGATATGTCGTGAGGAAGGTGGTGAAATTTCAAATACTAACGACAAACAAACGGGGCAAGCAAAATAAACTGTTTAAATTATAAATCACATAAAAACAGATCGAATAATAGTTATCAGATCTCATATAAAGTTATGATTGAATTACTTCATGCCTCGGCATAATTTAACACTTGTGTTGCTGCAAAATACTACATCCGTAGTTCGTACCACGTAGCAGCGTTTTTTTGCTATTAATCTCATCTTGCGCGCAAAGAGCAAACCGTGGTCTCAACCAGCAATTCATTCACATGAAAGGAGTTTATATACTCTAAACTTTCCATTCCATAATAATAATATGATTGATAACAAAACAGAGAAGTTAAGCAATAGTATTTTGATTAAGGCGTGAGTTTGTAAGCTTTTTCTTTAAGCCGACACACCAATTGAGTCTACGGTTTGCAACGTCTCCGAGATTCATAGCGGGAAAACGCTGACACGCACTACGAACTACGCACTACGAGCTACGCACTACGAGCTACGAACTGTGCACTACGAGCTACGAACTACGCACTACAAGCTACACACTACGAGCTACGCACTACGAGCTACGCACTACGAGCTACGCACTACGAGTTACGCACTATGAGCTACATGTTACGTGCTTATACGTTACGCGGTACGGCTGTAGTATAATTTTTTATTGTTTGAGTTTTTATTAACTAGTTTAAACACCTTAAGAATTTTGATGATCATCAGTGACTGAATCAATGATGAAATCTAAGTATTTTAGTTACTACTACTATACTATACTTACTATACTTCGATTTCGTCATTGATTCAGTATCATAAGAGCTGTGGAACTAAAATTTCCAAAATCGTTTTAGGCTTCTGTGGCCTAATAAATATTTCTTTGGAAATATTGTAGGTATACATTAGGTACTACACCTATATACTACCGGATACATTTCCCCCTTTCCATCATCGTACCACAAGGCAATCGGCGAAGCGTCACCGATTCATGGTAGATGTCCCACCCACATACACGAAGCGCTTCGCATCAAGCTTCCTTGTGCGTACTGCTAATGAGTGGAATTCTTTGCCAGAGTCTATAGTTATTTCCTGAAAGGTATCCTGGGTGTCTTCAAGGCCTGAGTGAATAGTTTGCTTTGCGACGTGCTCCATCGTAGACCGCATCATCGCTTACCACCAGGCGAGATAGTGGTCAAACGTCGGCCCATCAAATAGGTATAAAAAAATCCCAAGCCATATAGTACGGCGGAATAGAATGTGTACATTTGTAACCATTGCTACTCCTTACGCGGTTGTAGTAAGAACCGACAGCTTAACCTACCTAAACGTAGTTCCTTTACTAAGGATGAACTAAACATAGCTTATTAAACAGACATTGATTGATAATATTTGTAACTCCACACACATGTGTTTATAGTCGCATGTGATTGTAAGCTATAATGACCTAAAATAAATATAATTTTCCTGCAAACTAAACCTAGTGTATGGAAGTAGGAAAATAGTTGAGAAGGGTATACAAAAAAGGTAACACATGATGTTTTTTTCTTAATTTTTATTTTTATGTACAAATAGAAATTCCCTTAGGTAAAATAAACTTACTTAAGTCTTAAATTATGATACTGTACAGAGTTTGTACGACGGAATGCGGGCAGTGGTAGAGAGATCCCGATGTAGGAGTTATGGCAAGTCCTTAAATGTGCTGGTGCTTAATAAATACGATGTAGTACGATGTGCAACCTCTATGGAGTGTAGCTTGTTAAAACCGAACGCTATTATCTAAGTGTGTAGAACTTGAATTCGTTTGAAAGAACACTAACGATACGTTAGCCAATGGCATCTGGACATCACTGTGACGTCAGATGAAGAATTTTGATTTGAATAGTAATGCAGTGCTTAACTATCGGTGAAGAATAAACCTTTGATATTGCCATTTTAAACCAATTAAACACTAGACGAAACTAGTGATAATACTAATTAGATACCAATAGTGTCTAATACTGTCGATAACATCGACACTACAGACACTATTGATACAAATATTACCGACAGTTAGTACTACCGTACTGTAATGTTTGGTATGTAAAGTTAGGGGGATCACAGACGGAGACCGGGGTTGGTGCTAGCTACGTAGTTGAGGAGCTCGTCAGAGTCCTCGCAGACGATGGGCTTCTCGTGGTAGCAAGCAACATCGTGCCACGCAATACCGTCATTGTACACATTGTTCAGGATACTGAGGCAAGACTCTGAGGTGCCGTTGATATCAAACTCCGCGTTGTCAGGCTGACGTTGCTTCTTGTGGCCAGTCTGAGACCAAGGGTTGTAGCCCCAGCCGTTGGGGATCTGTAAGGAAAGTTATATTTAATTAATTGTTATCGAATCTTGACTGATTTAGCACAAAGTCCCTAATAAACCTAAAACGACGATAAAAACATCATAAAAATGGTCGATAATCACATCACAACTACTAATAGCGAACAGGGCTTTCTTACATAAACAGCTAGGGCGCGGCAACTGGCATTGATGTGTACCTACTATACTATAAGTACTATGAATACACTCATTCAAATTACGCATCTCAGACAATCAATTACTCGTTAATTGGACAAGTTTGTTAAACACCAATAGTATTGCAAATTGAGGTTACCAATAATAAACACCTCAATGAGTGCCGATGTAGTGAAACACTGCACTTGAGTAATATAACGTAATCCAAAACTCAAGTACTTCAGTGTTTGAAAATGCGTAATACCTCAGCTTTCTCACAACAAATACGAATTGTACGAATGTACGCGCAGGTGTGTCTTCGAAAGTTTATGATTCAGTAAATAAGTACGTGTCGGTAATACGGTAATAGCAATTTTCCTCAGTTCCTCTTTACGTTGACAACCATATGAAAAGCATTAGTTCCGACCGTAACAAAGAAAATTTACGAGTAACTTACGACAATGTATAACAGGAATTTGGTTCGCTCTGTTACTTAGACGGTACATGAGGACAAACAGAACTTTCTTTTTGCGGATAACTTCAAAAGTGGACTTGAATTTTGTATTTCAAACATTAGTTAAAGACATTGACGTCTTATCCTAGTCAAGGATTGGCTTCTCCTGTGTTATTTCAGACCATATAATCTACTAAATTCAAATCCCTACAGTAGTTTTTTCGTGAAAGAGTCACAAAAAAATATACATCCATACAAATTTTTAAATTTATAATACTAGTACAAAAAGTAGAATGAAGAGTATTCTACTGACCTGGGTGGTAGGAGACAGCTTTTCACGGTTTGCGGACCAGAACCATCCGAAGACGTTCTTGGGCTCGAGGTCCTTGCGGTTTTCGCAACCTTTGAAGTCACAGAGGCGACCCGACGTCCAGATGTAGGGCACGTCATCTGCAATAATACATGGATCAGTTAGTGTCATCAGCAGTTGTATCCTTGCAGAGTTAAGGCGTTTTCTAGTTGTTTGTATTTACAAAGGGAGAAGTTTCGACGAGCCTCCACGAGCTTCTCAGTATTAGAATCATAAGTTTAACGAAATAAAAAGGCACAGGGTCACACATCAAATGTGTTAAGATTTGCCATTACATATTTATAAAAATTATCTAACGCTGTTGTTAGTGAAATGTGAAGGTTTCCAATTACGTGTCGCCTTCACGATACAAGTACTTTAGTTAGAGGATGGTCAACAATTTCACAACATTTGTACTCACTTTGCTGAATGAGTTTGAAGATTAGATTGTTTTCTTCTTGCGTCTCCATGGAGACCAGGTCCATGCAGTATTCGCGGCAGATGTTACGGCCATCTAACCAGTCTACCTTCCTGTTGGCGAGGGCGGGCACGTGGCCGCTGTAGAAATAGTTGTGACCTCGGTAGAAGAACTCTTTTGGTCCTAGAAACAAAAGAAAGAGGATTGTGAATAAATAAACAGACAATGCATAAACAAAAGCATCGGACTCAAGGTTGTATAGTAACAGTTACAGAAACAAATCAATAATATTTTACACCATATTTTGTCTACTTAGCGAGTCGTTGATAGGACATAACGAAGACCGAAGACCCTCAGTGAGACAGGTCAAGTACCTAAACATCAGAGTGTTGTATCATGGTCGTGACATTGAGGTGCCTGCGAGCAATTGTGTTAAATTATCACGAGCCACGTTAATGTCGCAACGTCTCGGACGTTACATAACGATACAGGCCACGCATCGTGACCTTTCCTCCTTACATAAAAACGCAAGCAACATATTTCAACCTGCATATGGATAATGCTAACAAAAAACAAGAAAATGTTATGATTCCTAAATTAGACCAACTTCGACTTAAATCATGAATGTGGATCGATTTATAAGACAGGTAGATCGTCCTTGTGTTTATTTATTTTAGCTTTCAAATGTCATGTAACATTAGATGCATTCCGATCCAAAATGTACATTTTTAGTAGCTATTATTTATGACTGATTGTTCCTCTCATGAAATATGCACTCGCTAATGATGTGAGAGTCATTCTAAAGTTGGTATTTGAGCCTTGACAAATATCAGACTGCACGGCAGATGGTCCGACAGAATTGGTAGTTCACAAGTTCAATTACTTAAATACACAAACGATGCAGCTAGTACATACTTAGCACTGAGCGTTTGTATACAAAACGTTTGTACATAGCTATGGAGTGGAGCTAAAAGCATCCACGACCTACATACTTAGCGCCTATTTGTCGAGCTACTAACTGGACCGTACGGTGTCAATTCTTTCATCATTTGATCAAATACTGGGCAGAACTGTTGCATGAAGTTTGTTTGTTCTAAGTAGGTATATTAGGTATGTGCGGAATGATTTTGGCAGACGATGTTGCAATGACCGCGGCGGTGCGGCGGTTTGCGGCTGCGGGCGGCGCCGCGCGGCGCACAGATGCGTCGGTCACGCGCCGCGCCAACTGGGCCAAGGATCGCTACCGGATGCGATTTTTATATTTAACCAACTGGCTAGTTCACGCCCATTGTCAACGCGACGATCCTAATTATCTGCATTATTAGATGCCTGATATGAAAATTTGCAATTATTTAGCCGTTGATATCTAATTTCTATGTTATATACCTACGTATATTATAAACAATATGCCTACAAAGTTTGTATATAAGTTTTCCTCGTGTACTTTTGAACTTTTATGTTAACTCTGTGACGCTGAAAACTTCACGGCCTCCATATAAACGTAGGTAATAAATTAGCTATCTACTTGTAAATCCGAATTAAGATAATTACCGTGTCTCAGCTTAATCGTGAAGGTTCTTTATTTTTTGTTTAAAGTCTTATTTAGATGATAATTATAGTGAATTGCAACGTTATTAGTGTTTCTGATTACAATGTGAATGTGTTGAGGTTCGCACGACAAGACGACGTACACAATGATTGTGTTACCTTGCTAAGTGACAGATAGACTGACGAATGTGCGATTGTCTTCTTAAATCCGGCACGGAGAGGCTGACATCAAACGCACGAATATCTAACTTGCTTTATAACTTACGCGAGACTATAAAGCTTTCATTAAGTTCATAGAGCTAGGAGTACTTTGCCACGGATTGCAATTTTATAGTATTCATATTAGATTCATCTTTTGAAGCCTGCTTGCTAAAACTGTCTTGTAAAGCTTTGAAATCCATTGTTTTCCAGATATTATTTACCAAACATTAGACAAAATATTAGAGAAATATAATACATTCCTTGTAAGGAGCAACTGTCTGTTTTATCTTATTTAAGAAATATTGTAATCATCTGCCTCACCTCTATGCTTGTAACTTACGATAATTGTTAAACTTATCGTCAATTATATTATTATCTATCATACGTATGTACAAAGATCTTAAGTTATAAGTACTAATCCAAACTTCGTGCTTTTGAGTATTTTGCAATCGAAAACTCAATAACGCACTGCTCGACCCGAGAATCGCAACAATCACTAAACCATTATGAATTATGATTTATTGAATCACATTTACTGTAAAACTGATGACGAAATTCAAGTCGATCGAATATCTTCAATATAATAAATGTTAAGTGTAAATAAACTTATTCTGGGTATATTACTTTTGCAATAAGTAAAGCTAGATGAAATAAAACTAGATACTAAAAATATATTGAATTAAAAATCGCGGGTTACTCAGTGAATATAGAGGTACTGAGAAAAGCTCTACTAGGTTCAAGCCACAGAGGGGCTCTTTCTCATGAGCAGCGTGCGCGTTAGCGAGGTTGTCGCGCCGTTTAATGAAAATATATTCCTATAAAGTAACCAATCCGAAAATACAAAATCATAAAATAGTATGACTACACAAAACAGATCGATCTGGAATTAATTTAATGAATCACGTTCACGATGTCATTTAACAGACTTGTAACTTTATTGGGTTATGTACTTTCGCAATATTGCAAGTAAATACGTACGAATAGTTATTTTACATATAGTAATGAAAGACACATATTCAAAATATTAATTGCACTTAGACAGTTTCGCTGAAATATTCAAACGAGATGGCACGATATTTAAGTACGGTAAAATGAGGTGAATAGAATTCGAGGAGTGAATATAGAAATGGGGTGGATAAGTGTTAGAATATTTTCCCAACATTTATTCACCCCTCTTCTGTATTTATTCACCCCGTTTTACTGTACAACTTCAAATTTAGTAACCTTTCAGTATTCGGGCGTTAGACATATTATTTACCTATTCCGAAAATTAATCTTATTTTAAGTAATTTCAAACCTATTCTATAGAAATATTACAAAAACTAATTGCATTTATATTACATAGTAGTAGAATTAATGTTATCCGTACGCATTCAAGAAGACAGGAAGCATTAGCAATGAGAAACTACTTCGTGCACTTAAAAGTCAGTAATAACAAGCTTAAGTAGTAAATATGTGATAATTTATACTAGCTGTAAAATTATACGAACATTATTCTTATTCAAACAGTCTAACATTAAGTTATGAAGCATTTGATTGAAATACTGAATGATTTCATCTAGGTAAAGGTCTTTATCGTCAAGTTTGTATGTTCTAAACCAGCTTATGCCGCGATGGCGACCTCTCGCGTCCGGGCCTAGTGCAGGCCATGATGCGGAGCGAGGGGGACTGGGATGCCGCCTCCTCCATTTGCGAAGCAGTCATGCTAGCTAAGGAGGAGGCGGGACGCGTGAGGCAGCGAAGTGCTGCCTCCTCGCAACCCAGCCATCGCGAAGGACACACCGGGCGTCGGGGATCGCGGGACGATCTCCGGCTACCGTAAGCGCGGGACTGCGGACGGCGAGCATGGGTGGCTCCCCGTCCGACCAGAAACAGACCCGAGCGTACGGCGCGTAGCGTTCCGCGCGCGCCTCAAAGAGCCATCAGACCACCACAGATGGGGCCCAATAGGGCCGATGCCGATTCGGAGTCGCGGAGAACCTAACGGGTAACCGGGGCTCCGGCTCGACGTGCAGGAGAAGGAACGGGGTGGTTTTTAGTCAGTAAGAGTCTGACACTCCCTTCCGCCTCACCCAGGCGGGAGCAGTCATTCGATGATTTTCCCCCCTAAAAAAAAAAAAAAACCAGCTTATGCCAACGGCTTCGCCCGCATTCTTATGGGGTAAAAAGTAACAAATATCAGACCATAATCTATCCGTGTTTCAAATTTCTTCCCGGTCCTTCAGCCGTTTTGACATGTTCGAATCTATCTTCTATATAATAAAATCGTAGAAAAGTCGAAACCACACATTGAATATTTTTATAAAAGAACACTTGGGCCATGAGCTATGGTCGATACTGAAGCCAAAAATATGATTTATAGAATTTTTGTCTGTTTGTCTGTATGTATGTGCGGGATGATCTCAAAAAGTACTGCATGGATTTACTTCAAATTTTGTATGATTAATACTAACAGGTAGGATCAACATATAGGCTACATATTATTACGCTATCACCTACGGGGTAAGCGAAGTAAATCACTATTTCACGAACGAAGTCGCGGACACAGTTAGTAACAAATATACACACAAACATACATACTCTCGTATATAAAACATTATGCACACATGAAAATGCAAAGGTATTTCTCTCTAAATACCCTTTTGAGGTTTCGCTGTCTATAATGAGAATTTCTAGGTAAAATTATGAACTAAAACCATTTTAATGACGGTGCAGGAGTTTTACGAAGAGACGTATAATAGCTGTACCGTCTGTGCTATAATTACGCTACCACCCTTTCCTGGAAAACTGCAGTGGTATCGTTTCACAAAGAGGTCTCTATACGGTTAGTATGATGCAAATGCATTTATAATAAGTATCTGTTTATTCAAGTATCAATTTATGCCATTAAGGTTTATAAATCTAGAGGTTTAGGTTACTTCATCTACATACGGTACGAGTACCATTCGCAAATGCACAGCTGAATTTCGCCATGCAGCGCATCAAGTTTTAAAGCCGTAATTTATCTTTATGTGCCAGGGATAAAACATAATTTGAAAGTTTTACCGTTATTCCAATAAATAAATAATCTGTTTATACGAGACGTGATACCTGATATTATCTGTGGTTATGCCCATGAACTGTCACATTTTGAACCCTTGAACTTAGAATGGTTTAAATTTCGAATGCGTCGACACTATTTCAAAATTCGCCGATGACTTTGACTTTGAAATCGTGAACTTAGAAATTAATTTTAGATGCAAATCTACAAAGATGTAGGTAAAACAAAACACGACAAGAAACTTAATACATAGTTTTAGTTTAGCAAAACTAGTCGTGAACCGGAATAGCTAGAAAAAATGTGAAGATCTTAACGTATAAATACGAAAAAGTACGGATTATTGTAGGCATTTATTTTATAAATCACCTTTTTTACCGTTATTCCAATAATATAA